GACGTTTTTAAAATCTTTGGAAAACCCAGAGCTAGATAAATTCATGTATACTTTAATTTTTTATAAAATGTTAAAGATTAGTTATCGCTTGCATTGTTCGTTCGCGAGTGGAATCGTTTCAATTTGTGAATCAACCTTGACAAGGATTTTAATCGTTTTAAACGAGATAATGTAAAAAAAAAAAAGAATCTAATAATCTAAATCAAATTCGTTGATGGACAAATTGCGACTCACGTGCGAAACTATCGCCTCGACGGAGGGAAAATCACTCACGTCTCGTGACTCGCGAGACCGTAGGGACGAGTGATCGCTCTAAACGATTCCCATTATTCAATTCCTCGGCGAGCCCTTGCTCGATAAATATCGTCGTCAAAAATTCTTTCGATTCAGACACGTCGTTCCATTCTTCCTGCAGATTCGCTTTTCCTTTCGTTTCTTTTCTCTTCGTTATTGTTAGAATTAATTTATATACATCGAAACATTCAATTTTCAATTCAATTTCTCCTGTTACAGATTCCGGACCAGAAATTCATAGGATACGTGATGATCACTCGAACAAAATTATGGTGGAAGATGGTGTGTTCCGGTCAACAGAGAGGTGTAAGAGTGCAATAATTTTTTGATAATCGATCGAGTCGAAAGAGACGATTGCGCGTGCAAGCCAATGACAATTCGCACCGTTTTGTTTCGTGTCATCGATTCGTATATCTTTCCTCGGAAATAGATCTTTCCTCTCCCCCGTTCTTATCGTTATCGTTTAACCGATAGAATATAGATGTGAAAAGATCGAGCCCCGGTGTTTGCCGTGACAGTGACATCGAACGTTGCAAGGCATCGAGATCGAGGATTTGAGAAAGAAGAAGCTATGAGAGAGATCGTGCGAATAATCGCGCGGATAATGCGCAAAAAACGAAGAACACGAAGATCGAGGAACACGGTGTCCAAGAAGCAGGAGAGAAACGCCATCGGCACACATTACACAAGTGTACGCGTAACAACAATGCACTCGAATGATTCCAATCTGTCCGGTAATTATTTCGATTCGACGTGTATCTGTATCGTCGAGAGAATGAGATCCATCTCTCTTTCTCTCTCTCTCTCTCTCCAGGCCTTTTTAAACGAGGCCAGCGTCGAAGGGGGAACGACTCTCCTTCGCTTCTTACGTCTCGTCTCGTCCTTCCAAACAAGAGAGAGAGGATTCGACGCGATTTTCCACGATTCCACGTGGAACCTGATTCCGTGGATCTTGGCTTTTTTAGATCGAGACTCGCCCCGAGCGACCGCGAACCTTCGCGTTTGACCTCCAACTAGTTCCTTTCCTCTTTCCGCTTAACTCCGCGAAAATAAATTCTCTCGGCAGAGGAAGAGAGACACACGATCGTCGCTTATTACAGATCGCAACTTACCAATCCTTCCTTCTTTCTTTCCTTCCTTCCTTCCTTCCTTCTTTCTTTCCTTCCTTCCTTCCTTCCTTCCTTCCTTCCTTCCTTCCTTCCTTTCTTCCTTCCTTCCTTCCTTCCTTCCTTCCTTCCTTCCTTCCTTCCTTCCTTCCTTCGAAGGATACATAAATTTCGGACGAGTTTTCTAATCGTTTCGAGAAGAAAAAAAACTTTCACGCGCATTTTTGTGCATTGTTTACGCAACGAACCTAGTTCAAGGACACGTAAATTCGTGTGGGACGAAGAATTTTCGAGAAGAAAAAAAGCTTCAGTATATGGTTTTCGTGCATTGTTTATATGAACGAAACGAGTTCGAAGAATAATTCATAAATTTCGGACGAGGAGTGTTCCGAAATCGAAAAGTTTTGCGCGTATCGAATGATTTTCGTGCATTGTTTACACGAACGAAACGCGTATTCGGATATACGTATAATTATTTCGGTACACGTTCGCGGAACCTGTCTTCGATTTCTGCTCACGTAGCATGCGTGACAGACGCCTAATTGGTTGGAAACGTCATAACGCAATAATACCACATGGATAATCGTTTAAAAGATAAACCGAATCGAACGTTGTGCGCGCGTGTCTTAACTTTCGAAAACTTGCTCGTTGTCAAAAATGTTCTCCTTAATTTTTTATTTTTTTTTTTTTTTTTAGATATTGGCCGGACTAGCGGCGCATTCCAGTCAAATATCCGTGGGACTTGGCCAGGGATTTAGCGCGATTCTACTTCCGCAATTATTGGAGAGCGAGCTAGTCGATCAAGAGCAAGCCTCTTGGATCGCTGCGTTGGGAGTTATCTCGAATCCTCTGGGATCCCTGATCTCTGGCCTTTGCGCGGAATGGTTTGGAAGAAGATCGGCCATCGCTTTGGCTACTTTTCCATACGCCACCGGATGGCTGTTGATAGCTTTGTCGAAGAGAGCCGTGTCCATGTTGTATGTGGGCAGATTCATCAATGGTATCGGTATAGGAATGACCAATGGCATCTATCTTTATGTCAGCGAGGTAAAACTAGGATTTAATTTAATTCTTAATCTCGAAACATTGAAGCCAAATATTTCTAATTAATATACAATAGTCATACGTAAATAGTTGTTTGCTCGCTCGTTAACGCGTTGTACAGACTGCTGCGCCAAATCAGAGAGCCTGGTTGGGAAGTTGTGGTCCGGTTTTGGTTTCCCTCGGAGTTTTGATGATTTACACGTTGGGAGCTTTCACCTCGTGGCAAAGAGCCGCCGCGATCAGTATCGGGCCTTCCATCCTCTCTTTGGCATTGTCACGGTAATTACTTGGGACTTTAATCGACTATTAAATTAATTAATCAATTAATTATCGTTTCCTTCTTTTCAGCATAATCCCAGAAACACCGGCTTGGCTGGTTGCTCGAGGACGGAACGAAGAGGCAAAGGAGTCGTTGCTGTGGCTAAGGGGATCTGGCTCGAGCACTGACAAGGAGTACGAGGAGCTTTGCGAGGAAAATGTGAAAAGAGAAAAGGAAAGGGAAAGTCTGTTGAAAGCTCTCCACATGCCAAGCGTGTGGAAACCTTTCCTCATCCTGCTCGTTTTCTTCGCGTTCCAACAAATGTCGGGAATTTACATAATCCTGTTCTACACTGTGAACATTCTCGAGGACATCGGTATCGAGTTGAACGAATATTCGGCGAGCGTTGGAATAGGCGTGATACGATTGTTCGCCTCGATAGCTGGAGCTGGTCTCGCGAACAGTTTCGGTAGAAAAATTCTGGCCTTCCTCAGCGGCCTAGGAATGACAGTGTCCGCTGTAGGAGTTGCTCTCGCGTACAGGTTGGTGCGATATGATCGAAACGAATCGTTTGGATTTCGAAAAGGCAAAACGCTTCACGATCATCCTCCTCTGTTTTTGTACCCAATTACCTTCCTCTCGTCATTGACATCGATCTAAGAAAATCTAATCGATCTAATTTTTTCTCTCAGGTTCAAATTGCCGTATGTGGTATCCTTAGCGTGCATCGGAGGCCACGTGGGTTTCTCTATGTTAGGATATCTCACTTTACCCTGGGTAATGACCTCTGAGCTATATCCGTTAAGGTTCAGGGGTCCACTGGGAGGTATCACCACCAGCATAGTGCAAATGTTGACGTTCGCGATCATTAAGATGTATCCGAGCCTGCACGACGTGGTCGGGATCGAATCCACGATATGGATATTTGCCGCGGCCTCCACCCTAGGCGCTATATTCGCATTGACGATTCTACCCGAGACAAGGGGTCGAAGCTTGGACGAGATCGAAAGAGGATTTTCCAAGAAGACGTCCGAGTCGAATTCTTCGACCGACGTCAACGTTCAACCGACTATCTTCGTTCAACCTAAAAATATTACGCTTCAGAGATTCGCCTCGATTACGGAAGAGAAACATCGTAATAATAATATGATGACTAACGCGTATACGTATGATAATTTCTGTTTGGATTTAACGTCGGATGGAGATACGGAAAAAATGGAAGTTAAAAAGAATTCCGACACGAATTGTACGAATGTTGCCAATGCCATCGCGTTAGAAACACGTATACTTGATTAAATACGATCAATAATTCAATAGACTTTATTTATTTTTTTTTTTTTATTAAAGAAAACAATCGATGATTGTCAATCATCGTATAATGGAAATAGACATTTTCTGAGACTTCACTTGTATTGTGATATCTTATCGATAAACGTGTGTATATATATATATATATATATACGTTATTATTAAACAAATCTTAACTATTCAAAATGAAAAATTCACCAGTATTACAAATATTTCTGTGACTTTGTCGAATGTGTTCTTAGAAATGATGAAATGAGTAAATTGTGAATATATTTTTAATATGACTATGGAAGAATGATTTCTTTTTCCTCTTTTAACAATAATTGTGCAATTTAAGGAAATGATTGTTAATATATTATATAACGTATAGTGCAAAAATAAATAGAATTTTGTTGAACGTTTCAATTGAATAAGAAAAGATAAAAATATGATTGTTAATATTAATATCATCTATATTATCGTATGTAAAATTAATTGAGCATACTCTGCGTATAAAATTATATAAGTATTTATGTATATAACTTATATATATATATATTTATAGATATCTGCTCAAATATTTTTTTCATTCGTTACATTATAAATCGAGATATTTGTAAATACAGTTTCTATAAAATGTACATAGTTTTATTTGATAACAATAAATGCATTATTTTTTCAATAAAAATAAGAAACATTTTCTATTGTTTTTCAAGATCTTCAAAACGCGTGATACCATATCCTATAAAACGAAAAATCATTTATTGTATTACTCGTCAATCTCGAGTGTCAATGTTAAAAAAATTATCTCTGTCTTTAACCAATAGTTTGTACAATTAATTAATATAGATAATCATTCTGTACATACGAGAAAAATAAAACAATAAAAGATAAATATAAAAAAATTTAATCAATCTTTTTTCGTTTGTATGCTTTTAATAATGAAATTTGAATATTGGATCATTGAAAAATCCTAATTACAAATAAATAGAATTAATATCCCTCAGTGATAATAGATAAAAAAAATAGTGGGATAAAGATAGAAAAAATATTGAAATATCTCTAAAATGCCGAAATTCGTGTAGAAAGATATAAGAATTAACTGTTAACGCTATCTCTTGAATGTCAAAAAACATTTTTTAAAGAAGAATTTCTTTGCATTCAAAAGATGGCGCCAATAATCAATTCTTAACTTAGCTTTATTTTTTTTTACTATTTTCTCTCTTATCTAATTTATATTTCATTTGCAATAATCCAGAGATAATTCACTGATTTCATAATTTTTAATCTACCTCTATCTTTTTTTTATTTTTTCTTCTTGTCTACATTTGTTTCATCCGTATTAATCTGAAATACTTTAAAAATGACACTGATTTTACAATTTTTAATTTATGCTTATCTTTCATTATTTGTTCTCTTTGTTCTTCTTGTTATAGACAAAAATAGATTTCTAGTCTAGTCTTTATAAAACAAATGTAAACAATAAGAAGAAATAGTAAATGATAAACTAAAGATAGAGTAAAAATAATTTTTTGGAATACATGAATATATAAAAGTCGAGAATAATTAATTAGAATAATTTCAATTAGAATAATTAAAATAATTTTAAAAAATAATTTTAAAAATAGGTTTAAATCATGTGATACAAGCAAAGAAAAAAATTATATAAAAAAGACAAAAAAAGGCAAGTGATTTTGATCATATGCTCCTCATATGCTCTTATTAAAAAAGTTAATTTTTTTCAGAAAAAATATATTAATATTTCGATTTTTATGATTAATTTGCAAATTTTCACAGTTCGATGACAAAAAATAGATATTTTAGGAAATTTCACATATTTTTTGATTAAATATTTTTATGTAATTATTAATGATAATTTTATAAAATATCTAAAAATATTATTTATGCTTACGATTTTTTTATTAAATTTCATTCTTTTATATAATTAATTTATATTTTATATACGTATTTTTAAATAATTAATCACATTTTTTTTACATAACTTCCAAGTTATATAATAGAGTATATTATATATATAATTTATACGATATTATTAAATATTATTAAAATAACAATTTGTTTTTTAAAACAAAGACAATTGTATAAAAATAAAACATAATGTTTATTGATTATAAATGATCACGTAATACATAATGCACGATATTAAAGACAGTCCTTTAATTGTAGCACAATTTTAATATAATTATGGTATGAAATTCCCAAAATTCACGACATACATATTAATTAATGTACTGAAAAATATTTGTCAATATGTACAAAGCTCATGATTCCATATTTTCAAGAGAAAAATAATGTATTTGATCTTTGCGTAAATCGCAAAAAATTGGATTGACTATTTCGTTCTAAGTTTTCATCATACCACGCATCTGGACATTCATTTGTTTAAACAATCATCGCAAATGATATATACAGTAAAAATACATATTTCATGTACGATATGATTTGAACATTTTTTTGCTCTATGTAAAGATGGTACATTTATTGTACGTATCTCCATTATTGTTAAAATCTCAAGCATAGCAATAAATGCAAAAATTATCGAATTTTTAAGTACAAAATAAAAGGCGCATTAATGAATGTGAAAACATTCGTCGATGAATACATTTAAAACAAAACATATGACTTTCATTAGAATTCAATCATGATTTGACCAACTTAATTGGATTATTAATAATACAATCGCCATAATTACTTACGTCATTTACAAGCTCTACTTTCATATTTCCATAAGTCAATGTTTAGGCAGTTTAGGCTTTTTTCTACAAATATCTAAGAAAATAGGGCTAAACCTCTCTTTTTTTTTTATTCTGTACTATTAAAAATTTTGTCAGGCAATGTAAATCCGCTTTTGTATTTACAATATGTCATTTATAATATGATATTGTTCATTACTTTCGTAATTCTTGCTAATTAAAAATGCTTACGGCTTTGTACGATAAAATGTAGTCGAATTGATTTTTTTTAATAAAAAGATCTTTACAAAAAATATCAAACTCATTTAATATATCTGTTGAGAATGCATTAAAAATGTAAGTAAAAACGAAATTTCATCAACATGTCTTGATACTTTAAATAAAAATACTATAAATGGAAGACCTTTATTAAACTTATTAAAAATAATAAATGCAAAGATTCTGTGCAATATTAATCATATGTCAGTATTTTAACATTTTCTCCATAATATAGAGAGAATATTTTGCTAATAATCTGTCTAATTCTATATAGACAGTAAATTTATAAATGTATACTATAAATGTTCATATAGTTATTCACTCGACTATATGTTCATTGGTTAGTGTCCTTTATGGTCCACTCATGACTCGTTTTTAAGAGTTCAAAAAATTCTCTTATCATGTTTTCTATTAAAATAGTGATTATAATAGCAATGGACAAAGTTCTAATCGTATCATTATATTTTATAATTCAATAAAAAGTAAATAAAGACATTTAACTTTTTTTTCTTTGTTAGTCTATATTGAATAAATTTCAAATATATACTATATATGATCATGATCATATAGAAAATTACGATATTCTTTTTATTGATATAATTTGTACTTTTTCTAATTGATGAAAGATTGATTACATTGCAAAATATAAAAAGCTTTATTATTCAAAGATATAAATATTGCTTGATTATTAAAAATATGCAATTAATAGCGCAAGCTAGTGAATCTTAAGAATTTATGTTAGGAATTAATTTACGAGTCTATGAGTATCCTTATGTTATAATAAAAGCGATAATGTAAAATAACGTGAGTTGATTTTCTTATCACATTATCGTGTCTTTTTTTAATGAGGTATCAATTATATTAGCAATTTACTATGAATTTCGAATGTCTATGTTTTCATCTATAAATCTTGTTTGTACCAGACACATTTATGTGTTGACTCCATTGTCAGGAGCATTATGTGCATGCAATTGTGACATTAAAGCAAAAAACAATAGTATATTTTTTTCATATAAGATATCTAATTAAAGTTGTGCTTATTGAATAATATAAACTTTCTTTAAGTCTAATATTATTGCTCTCTTAGCCAATGCTTAAACACATATTATCATATCTCTTTTGGCAGTTCGCAATTTTATCGAAATGTTAATAGTAAAAATGAAGGTATTGTCATTATTACTTATAAGAGACTGACAATTGCATAATTATTAAGAATTGATTTCCCATATTCAATGATTTTGTTGTTTTATATATAGAAATATTATGTCAAAATTGAAAATAACCAACAACTCGTCCAAATTAATCTTGCAGCATCAATATTTCCGTGTATTGAATCGACGTTTAAATTCTGAAACGCTTGATGATCTAAGCGTGACACCTGTTGTCAGTAATATTCCGAATCTGAACTATGTTGTGAATCGCCGCTTCTGCCATTTAAATATACTTCTGATGTTTGTTGAATTGACGGTGAATGTTGTGCAATTTCCCAATTTTGACCTGTGACAACAAATAATTAGTAAATAAATAAATAACTTAATAGAAAGAAAATAAAAATTATATAGAATTAACTTATATACCATGTGCAGCAAGAATAGTGGCTAAACATCGTGCTACAGCTGGATTTGGAGCACAAGCTAATGCAGGTGTAAGTCCTTCTGCGTCGACAGCGACAACACTTGCACCCAATTGCAATAAACGTCGTGTTACCTATAAAAGATAAATTCCTCTAATTATTCTTACACTTCAAACAATTAAAAGTAAAATATTATTTCCTACCGTTACAAGACCATTTCTTGCTGCTAAATGCAATGGAGTTCTTTGTTGTTTATTAGTCATATTAATAACTGTCATACTTTGTTGTTGTTGTGATGTATTTTCACCATTAGTATTAAGCGAATTAATCCAATTTAATAATAATGAAGCAGCAGCAGAATGTCGTCTTTGGCAAGCTAAATGAAGAGCTGTATTCTTATTACAGTCAACAGCACGCACATCAGCTTTCCATTCAAGCAATAACTCTATGGGTAAAAAATTATATCAATGTAAAAAAAAATAGATAATTAAAAATAGATAATTAAAAATAAAAGCGAGTGCTTACCGATAGCACTACATTGACCCGTAATAGCAGCGCAAAGAAGAGGTGTACGACCTGAATAATCTGGAGTTTCAAGACCAGCTAATTCAGGTCCAACAGAACTTAAAATCAGTTTTGCACATTCTACAGATCCTGAACTAGCTGCAACGTGTAAAGGCAATCGACCACCCGGAACATCTCTCGGAGCAGCAACGGTTTTTCCTCCAAACTTATTTATTAATAATTCTAAACAATGAGCTGATCCTTGATAAACTGCACAGTGAACAGCTGAGAATGGATTACCTGTATACAAAAAATAATTTATATCTAAAAATCAACTTAAAAAATATAATAATTTCAACATAAATAGTTAAAATATCGAGAAATATACTTGCCCTCTAAGGAGTCAATTACATTTTGTTCCAATAAATATTCAACACAATTCGAATTCCCATTATAACATGCCCAATGAAGAACCGTACATCCTTGATCGTCTTTTAAAGTGGCAGCGATTGAATTAACTTTGACAAGAGAAGCCAATGCTTTTACTCTATGAAAAAATTAACTTCAAATTTATAAATGAAAATATAAATAAATTCTTTAATTTAAAAAAAACATCTACCTTCCACATGCGGCGGCTAAATGTAACGGAGTTTTACCATTTGCATCTTGTATCATTACTTGGGCACCATGTGATAACAATAATTCCACTAGTTGATGATCACGCTCTTTAACCACTGCTCGAAATAATGGCGTATGCTTATTCACATCCGGTAAATTACAATCTGCTTTATATTTTAAAAGTAACAGAGCACATTCTGGATTGCTATTTGCCACTGCTAATGTTAACGGAGTTCGTTGTTTTGTATCGTAACAATTGACGACATTTGAATCTTCTGTATTTTCTAATAAAAGTTCTAAACAATTAAAGTGACCTGCCGCAGCTGCACAATGTACTGGAGTACGTCTTGTAATGGAATCCTGAACCGATACACAAGCTCCATATCTTAACAAAAGTTGAACGCATTGTTCGTGACCTTTATAAGAAGCTAGATCCAAAGGTGTTTTACCAGTATCTTCTTTAATATTAGTATTAGAAAATAATGGTAATAATAAGCTTAATATTTCACTGTGTCCATGATATGCCTATAAAATATAAATACATTTTAAATTATTGAACATATTAAATTGATTTATCTATACTTACAGCAAGATGTAAAGATGTTAATGCAGGTAATGGAGGTTCCGATTTTCCTGTAGAATTAGATGATACTGTTAAATTTCCTGGTGGACAAGCTTCCAATAAAGCTTCTAAAGCTGGTTGATTTCCTCCAGCTACAGCATAATGAATAGCAGTAAAACCTCGTTTATCGCGTAAACGCGGATCTGCTCTATGCTTTAATAAATATTGTACACATCTAAAAAAAAAAAA